GCAGCATCGTTCACTGTAGAATGGACAACACAAAATGTAAGTTGGAGCCCTTCACTTCAGTCTACACTGTTGAGCGTTTCCACATCATAATTCATATTCTGGGAAGGAAGTGTGTCATGGTCATTTTGGGTGTGACCCGGTTGCCTCTTTTGCTTTTGCCCATTTTACTGAGGCCGATGTACATGCCAGGGTACGCAGCTGACTCATAGGCGTTGTAGTTGTTGGCCAGGATATTCTCCTTGAACTTGCATTCATCGTTGTAGTGTCCCTGAGAGGAAGAGGAAGGTGAAACGTTAGAAACACGAAAGATTTTACATGTCAGCACTTAATAAGTGGTGCTAAAGTTTCTACAGTGTCTTTTAATTTGACAAGGCCAAAGCCTATTTACATCTCGTTAGTGATCACGACTGAGTACAACTGGTAGTTTCTCGATGGATCGGTCCCAAGGAACTCGTGACGATCTAAGACGTAGATTTACACGAGTTGGGGAGAGCATCATCAAGATCATTCCAAGATCATCAGCTCAAACATCTGTACATAATACAAGTTTGGATGTGTCCCCGCATCACCACACACACTTAGGAAGAAGAGCCATAGTCAGAATCAGAATCACTCCATAGTGTATTAAGGAGTCACAAAAGTACTTAGACCAAGCTTCAAAGAGCTGCAGACGTCACGTTCCTCAGGTCCACACGAGTTATTATGCCCGATTATTTCCAAGCCGTTCAAAAAATATTCTGAAGACTGATGAAACAAAAGTTTAACTTTTTGGTAGGTTTGCATAAATCTAAAATGAATTGTTTTCCACTCTTTTGTAATAAGAGCACCATACAGCTTCTCTGCTCCTTCAGGACCAGGAGGACTTGCTTATCGATGGAGTCACAAATTCTGTTTTCTGCCAGAAACATGGACAATATCCCCCATCAGTTCAGGGCAGCGTTTCTGCAGAATGACAATAATCCGACACACACATCAAGTCCACATCTGAAAGGCTCCAATACATAAAAGCAAGTTGATATGTAAGTAAAAAAAGGTTTTCGAGTGGTGCAGTCAAAGTCCAGACTGGAATCCAGCTGAGATGCTCCTGCTGGAAAACCCTCCAATGCAACTGAATTCATCCAAACAGTGTAAAACACTGTCAGTTAGTGCAAACGCTGGGTTATAGTTCCAGCTGCCATCAGTGGCACAAACACTGATGATTAGAACGCTTGTTGTGATCTGATGTCACAATGTCTACATGCATGCCTTCAGCATCGAACAAAAACAGAAACATCTGTTAGACACATAAAGCAAATATATTTCTGCATGTGCACCACACACCGAGCAGAAACATGTCCCTGTGAACTGCTGTGTGTTTCCAGATCAGCTGCACCCCACGGTGCCTGTTTCTGTCCTCCGGCATGTGTCAGGTTTCTGCTTCTGCACAGTGTGTGAGCAGCTAGAGCACGTTTATTTCTGATATCAGCCTCACAGCTTATTTATTGACTGAAGCAGCTTTTTGGAGTATTATTTTCCTGTGCTCGGTTTGTTTTGAAAGTTCAGTCGTATGCACATTAAGACACGACTGTTTAAAGCAATCTTTGGTTGTGCATGCAGGTTTGTATCTGTATAAATGTGTACATATAGGACGACAGCTGGTGATTAGGTGTGTGTCTAGCTTATGTTTAGCTAATTACTCTTTTACTTCTTATAAATTTGAATAAAACTACTGTCTTAATTTAAAGATTTTAGATTTAACTGAATTTGATATTGCAGATAAATGAATAAGCCTAAGAGCAACTATCACAACCACATTAGGCACAAATAAGACACGCTTTGTTTCAGCATTACGTTCAGCACAATTTAACACAAACTGCATTCTACAAATGTCTTGATGCTCAAGGAAATCTCCAA